TGGGAGTTTGGGTGGCTGTGGTGCTGTTGGGAATGTAGGCAGTGATGGGGGATGGTAGTACTCGGGTCAGGTGGGTCCTGAGTAGGACCCAGGTACCCACAGGACTACCCGCACCCGTGGTTAGTCACGTGATATATTGTTTAATGACAAAAACTCACTATGGCTCAGTGGTTACACTACAAGTTGCTAATTTACGCATTTTATTCTGACGATGCATACATTCCTTTGGACTTGAAAATGTTTGAGTAAAGATAAAGCTTCAGTCAACTTCAGTGAACGCATGATCTGATTGTTTGATACATGTATCTAAATAGTTTTTGGCCAGGGCTGCGGTAAAACAATTACCAATCAGACATTTTGTTTCCAACTCTTGAGATCTGCAGTGATTACCCGGGTAGGGTCGGATGATAGGGTGTCGGGTACCCGGGTAGTAAATTTGGACTCGTCCCAGCCCTAGATGGCAGGGTGGTAGTGGTATGGGGAGACAATAGGGGATTAAGGGAGGCATCTCACATATGGGGAGGGTATGTTAGCTACGATTACTCTGTGTGTGGAGGTGGGTTGAAAAGTTGGGGGATGTATGTCAGCTACGATTATTGTGTGTGTGGAGGTGGGTCGAGAAGTTGGGGGATGTATGTCAGCTACGATTACTGTGTGTGTGGAGGTGGGTCGAGAAGTTGGGGGATGTATGTTAGCTACGATTACTCTGTGTGTGGAGGTGGGTCGAGAAGTTGGGGGATGTATGTCAGCTACGATTACTCTGTGTGTGGAGGTGGGTCGAGAAGTTGGGGGATGTATGTCAGCTACGATTATTGTGTGTGTGGAGGTGGGTCGAGAAGTTGGGGGATGTATGTCAGCTACAATTATTGTGTGTGTGGAGGTGGGTTGAGAAGTTGGGGGATGTATGTCAGCTACGATTATTGTGTGTGTGGAGGTGGGTCGAGAAGTTGGGGGATGTATGTCAGCTACGATTACTGTGTGTGTGGAGGTGGGTCGAGAAGTTGGGGGATGTATGTTAGCTACGATTACTCTGTGTGTGGAGGTGGGTCGAGAAGTTGGGGGATGTATGTCAGCTACGATTACTCTGTGTGTGGAGGTGGGTCGAGAAGTTGGGGGATGTATGTTAGCTACGATTACTCTGTGTGTGGAGGTGGGTCGAGAAGTTGGGGGATGTATGTCAGCTACGATTACTGTGTGTGTGGAGGTGGGTCGAGAAGTTGGGGGATGTATGTCAGCTACGATTACTCTGTGTGTGGAGGTGGGTTGAGAAGTTGGGGGATGTATGTCAGCTACGATTATTGTGTGTGTGGAGGTGGGTCGAGAAGTTGGGGGATGTATGTCAGCTACAATTATTGTGTGTGTGGAGGTGGGTTGAGAAGTTGGGGGATGTATGTCAGCTACGATTATTGTGTGTGTGGAGGTGGGTCGAGAAGTTGGGGGATGTATGTCAGCTACGATTACTGTGTGTGTGGAGGTGGGTCGAGAAGTTGGGGGATGTATGTTAGCTACGATTACTCTGTGTGTGGAGGTGGGTCGAGAAGTTGGGGGATGTATGTCAGCTACGATTACTGTGTGTGTGGAGGTGGGTCGAGAAGTTAGGGGATGTATGTTAGCTATGATTACTCTGTGTGTGGAGGTGGGTCGAGAAGTTGGGGGATGTAGGTCAGCTACGATTACTGTGTGTGTGGAGGTGGGTCGAGAAGTAGGGGGATGTATGTTAGCTACGATTACTGTGTGTGCGGAGGTGGGTCGAGAAGTTGGGGGATGTATGTTAGCTACGATTACTCTGTGTGTGGAGGTGGGTCGAGAAGTTGGGGGATGTATGTCAGCTACGATTACTGTGTGTGTGGAGGTGGGTCGAGAAGTTGGGGGATGTATGTTAGCTACGATTACTCTGTGTGTGGAGGTGGGTCGAGAAGTTGGGGGATGTATGTCAGCTACGATTATTGTGTGTGTGGAGGTGGGTCGAGAAGTTGGGGAATGTATGTCAGCTACGATTACTGTGTGTGTGGAGGTGGGTCGAGAAGTTGGGGGATGTATGTTAGCTACGATTACTCTGTGTGTGGAGGTGGGTCGAGAAGTTGGGGGATGTATGTCAGCTACGATTACTCTGTGTGTGGAGGTGGGTTGAGAAGTTGGGGGATGTATGTCAGCTACGATTATTGTGTGTGTGGAGGTGGGTCGAGAAGTTGGGGGATGTATGTTAGCTACGATTACTCTGTGTGTGGAGGTGGGTTGAAAAGTTGGGGGATGTATGTTAGCTACGATTACTGTGTGTGTGGAGGTGGGTCGAGAAGTTGGGGGATGTATGTTAGCTACGATTACTGTGTGTGTGGAGGTGGGTCGAGAAGTTGGGGGATGTATGTTAGCTACGATTACTCTGTGTGTGGAGGTGGGTTGAGAAGTTGGGGGATGTATGTCAGCTACGATTATTGTGTGTGTGGAGGTGGGTCGAGAAGTTGGGGGATGTATGTTAGCTACGATTACTCTGTGTGTGGAGGTGGGTTGAAAAGTTGGGGGATGTATGTCAGCTACGATTACTCTGTGTGTGGAGGTGGGTTGAGAAGTTGGGGGATGTATGTCAGCTACGATTACTGTGTGTGTGGAGGTGGGTCGAGAAGTTGGGGGATGTATGTCAGCTACGATTATTGTGTGTGTGGAGGTGGGTCGAGAAGTTGGGGGATGTATGTTAGCTACGATTACTGTGTGTGTGGAGGTGGGTTGAGAAGTTGGGGGATGTATGTCAGCTACGATTACTCTGTGTGTGGAGGTGGGTCGAGAAGTTGGGGGATGTATGTTAGCTACGATTACTCTGTGTGTGGAGGTGGGTTGAGAAGTTGGGGGATGTATGTCAGCTACGATTACTGTGTGTGTGGAGGTGGGTCGAGAAGTTGGGGGATGTATGTTAGCTACGATTACTCTGTGTGTGGAGGTGGGTCGAGAAGTTGGGGGATGTATGTCAGCTACGATTACTGTGTGTGTGGAGGTGGGTCAAGAAGTTAGGGGATGTATGTTAGCTATGATTACTCTGTGTGTGGAGGTGGGTCGAGAAGTTGGGGGATGTATGTCAGCTACGATTACTGTGTGTGTGGAGGTGGGTCGAGAAGTAGGGGGATGTATGTTAGCTACGATTACTGTGTGTGCGGAGGTGGGTCGAGAAGTTGGGGGATGTATGTTAGCTACGATTACTGTGTGTGTGGAGGTGGGTCGAGAAGTTGGGGGATGTATGTCAGCTACGATTACTGTGTGTGTGGAGGTGGGTCGAGAAGTTGGGGGATGTATGTTAGCTACGATTACTCTGTGTGTGGAGGTGGGTCGAGAAGTTGGGGGATGTATGTTAGCTACGATTATTGTGTGTGTGGAGGTGGGTCGAGAAGTTGGGGGATGTATGTCAGCTACGATTACTGTGTGTGTGGAGGTGGGTCGAGAAGTTGGGGGATGTATGTTAGCTACGATTACTCTGTGTGTGGAGGTGGGTCGAGAAGTTGGGGGATGTATGTCAGCTAAGATTACTCTGTGTGTGGAGGTGGGTTGAGAAGTTGGGGGATGTATGTCAGCTACGATTATTGTGTGTGTGGAGGTGGGTCGAGAAGTTGGGGGATGTATGTTAGCTACGATTACTCTGTGTGTGGAGGTGGGTTGAAAAGTTGGGGGATGTATGTTAGCTACGATTACTGTGTGTGTGGAGGTGGGTCGAGAAGTTGGGGGATGTATGTTAGCTACGATTACTGTGTGTGTGGAGGTGGGTCGAGAAGTTGGGGGATGTATGTTAGCTACGATTACTCTGTGTGTGGAGGTGGGTTGAGAAGTTGGGGGATGTATGTCAGCTACGATTATTGTGTGTGTGGAGGTGGGTCGAGAAGTTGGGGGATGTATGTTAGCTACGATTACTCTGTGTGTGAAGGTGGGTTGAAAAGTTGGGGGATGTATGTCAGCTACGATTACTCTGTGTGTGGAGGTGGGTTGAGAAGTTGGGGGATGTATGTCAGCTACGATTACTGTGTGTGTGGAGGTGGGTCGAGAAGTTGGGGGATGTATGTCAGCTACGATTATTGTGTGTGTGGAGGTGGGTCGAGAAGTTTGGGGATGTATGTTAGCTACGATTACTGTGTGTGTGGAGGTGGGTTGAGAAGTTGGGGGATGTATGTCAGCTACGATTACTCTGTGTGTGGAGGTGGGTCGAGAAGTTGGGGGATGTATGTTAGCTACGATTACTCTGTGTGTGGAGGTGGGTTGAGAAGTTGGGGGATGTATGTCAGCTACGATTACTCTGTGTGTGGAGGTGGGTCGAGAAGTTGGGGGATGTATGTCAGCTACGATTATTGTGTGTGTGGAGGTGGGTCGAGTTGGGGGTATTTGTTTTATTGTAGGTTTTTGTCATTGTGGTTTCAGTGGGGGGATGGGGGGGTGGAGGGATTGGGAGGAACTAACTGTAGTGCCTAGAGTTTGGTCTGAAGCGGAATGAATTCTTCGTGTGAGGTGATGTATTGTGGTATGATTGCAGGTTTTGGTAGGTCTGTCTGGTGTATGTTTTTGTTGAGTTTAAGAATGTGTTGTTTGTTTGGACAGGTGTTTTGGTTTGCACTGTGACCTTTGGTGTTACAATTTATACAAAATGGGGCCATAATGCACTCTTGTATTACAGATAGGAATTTTATTGAATGTCATATCATTGTAAATTGCATAGGTATTCTTTACCCTATTACAGACAGGGATTTTATTGTTAGCTTGAAAAGATTCAACCATTGACACTCTGAAAAATGCATGTATTTCTTACCAGAATATGTTAATTAATTTTAACATGCAGTTCAATTTTGATTAGTTTTAATAATCATACCAGCTATACATTTCTGCATCCCTCTGTAATATAGTATATTTTATGTCTCATAACCCTGTATTAGATACCATAACTCTTCCATAATGTCGCATGTAATAGGAAATGTTCAATCTTGATCATCATCATACCTTAACAAACATGTATATTTATTTTTCTTTTACAGAATCGGCTGTACTACACCATGGCAAATCCAAGATTTGAGCCTCTCATTGAGTTTGTGCACAGTAATGAGAGAGACTCGTCAGCTAGGAACTGGAATGGGAGATCTAAGATCAGAGACAGACACACCCCATTGTGTGGGGAGGATGTGCGTGGCTTTTATGAAGCTGTCATTTCTGAGACGACTCCTCATGTTCCAAAAACCTCTTCACAGCAGACCAAGAGAACAAAAATATGTGATTCAAAAGCTAAACAAACAAATACTGTGAATCGATCTGTAGCAAATTGTGTTTCTTGGGAGAAATCTGATGACAAATGTAATGTTAGCGATGCACATTCAGTCTCAAATGTTCAACACATGTCCGTCTCAAGCATCTCGAGAGATAGTGACATGAAGATGAGACGGTTAGAGCTGCGGCTGCTGCACAAGAGTCAGGAAGGTGATGTACGTGGTGTAGAGCAGGCTGCCACATCCGGGGCTAATATCAATGTTAAGGACCTGTATGGGTGGACGCCTCTCATGTGCTCCGCCTATGCTGGCCACATGGGTGTGGTTCAGACCCTCCTTGGCCTTGGAGCAGACTGGGGTCTATGTGAGAGGAAGGGGAGGACAGCCAGGGATCTGGCTAATAAGGTTGGTCATGGTAGTATTGTGAAGCTCATTGATGATACCATAGCTGACTTTCAATCTTCCGATGATGGATCAAGCTCCAACCAACGAGTCACAAATGAGGAAGGTTTTTTCTGTGAAATTTGTAAAAGACATTTTTCTGAAGGGACAGAACGATCTCACAAAACCTCCACAGTCCATTTGTTTAACTGTCAACTAAAACCTAAGAAGCCAAGCTACCTCATCTCAGAGTCCAATGTTGGATATCAGATGATGCTGAGAAGTGGCTGGAATGCAGATCGGGGTCTGGGACCTCGAGAAGAGGGCCAAAAGTACCCAGTAAAAACTGTGTTGAAGAGGAACCGTGAGGGACTCGGGGGTGAACAAAAGAGCACGCCCAGAGTGACTCACTTCCCACCGCGGGATGTTCGTGCTGTTGCAACTGTGAAGCCGCGTGGGGAGAGGCGAGAGTCGTTGAGGTCACAGTCCCGTCGAGCCATCAAGAGGCGGGAACGGAAAGATAAAGAGTGGGAGAGAAATTTAAGGCGATACATGAACTCTGATTAAACTACGTAGATAAAAACCCTCCTTGTCCCACTGTTTCTTCAGTTGTTTCCTCCATGGTGAGTGAAGTGTAGTGTTTATTCCTTTATAAAATAATTGTGTAATCGTCTCTCCTGTAGAGAGTTTACGGGCAATTCACAGTGGTACACTGAGAATGGGTTTCACCAAATGTTGGGAATTGAATGGTGGCATTATGACAAGCTCCCACAAGAAACCCTTACTAAACACAGAATATGTAACATTGAAAAATTCATACATAGGATTCAAAACAAATGTTTTGGTACTGCTGCATGTTTAGGAACATAAAACTAACACAGGGATATAAAAAGGGAAATATCACATCAACAAAGAGGAGTATATCTGTATTTCTTTTCATGAGTTGGATTTGTATCATCATGCAATCAATCACCTGGTGCAGCTGCTGAGGAAGAAAATATTTATTTTCCAGAAAAAAATGTATGATGTGGAATTTTGATGATTGACCCAGCTTTGATCTTTGATCTTCACATACTCTTACTTTTTTCATGTAACTACATTTTTAAAGGTCAAGTAAAGTTAACATAGCAACGTTGCAGGATACAACCAGTTGACTAAAATTAAATTTTAAAAGGGAAATACTGTAAAATGGAAGATAAAAACGAGAGGCAATATTGTCCCCTAAACGAAAAATTTCGGCACTAAGGGGATTCCCCTTACTGGGTTTAAAACGGGTTACCTTGGCTTGACACCCAGCGCCATTTCAAGATCGGCATGGTCCCAAGTTGGCCTGGTGGTTTATTGAGCGTCTCCTTCTTGTCCAGCACCTAGTGTTACCGGTACAAACTCACCCGAGAGTGGAGATTGGTAAGACAATAGGGGATTAAGGGAGGCATCTCACATATGACACAACTAATTGGTGAATATCTCACAAAATATAACAACACAACTGATTGGTGAACACTATTCACATACACTGTACTAAATGAATCCTCCTAAAATGCATGTCAATGAGTGAGTGAACGTAATCATAAAGGAATTACAGACAAGAAACATTTTTCCACTGTGGCAAACGTGCAGGTTGATTTACAGTCTATTCCTAAGTCAAACAGGAATCGGCCCTTGGGTTTTGCCGGATACAAGTTCATGACTAAGACCAGACGTGTTCCCAAAGAGGATGCCCAACCATCATTAAAACCAAAGAAGACTTTGTCACAGTTATATGTAACAGAGCAGAGGGTCAACGCCAACAAATCTTCTCTTCTCGAGGGAAGGAATCCAACTATGTACACATTCACTGAGATTCTGCAGGTTGAGCAAGATTATCCTACCATCAGAAGTATCGAAACATAGACTGTTGCCCTTGAGTGAGTGAGTTGGGTTTAACGCCGCTTAACAGTATTCCCGTTGTATCGCTGCATGTCAGCATAATGTGGGAGGAAAGCCCGAAGTGGTGCAGGTCTCAGACGTTTATCACTTCGGTGAAACCCATGATCATAAGTATGGTGCCGACAAACCTAGAAACATAATCGGTGTGCGAACCGGGTTTCGAACCCACAATCATAGGTTCCTGACGTGCTCAAGGGACGCAACTCTGCACAGCGAATCACGGCGCTTTAGACGACTGGGCCACCCGTGCCCCCAGTGCCCTTGAAAGGGAGGAGAGACAAACGACCAACCAGAATTCTTTTTTGACAATATACAGGCTCGTTTTTGTTTGCAGTAGTATAATCATTTAGAAAGAATCAAATTTCTATTTGTAGAAGAAGCATTATTTTTAATATTCGGATGTATATGATATAAAGTTAGAATATGAATCTGTCGTAAATGATCAAATGCAGGACACACATGCAGAAAAAGAAATTTGTCTTCCACAGTTTTGGAAAAGCACTTTTTACTGTAACTCTTATTATGGGGAGTTAAATTTCTTCTGCGAGTTTCATTTTCAAGCCAGAGTGGACTGCATCTATATAGAGATAAGCATGTGCGTCATTTACAAACATGTATACAAGTTAACTACTCTTCATAGTTTAAAGTTGTGGTATATTGGGTATAGAATGACATTTCTTAACTCTGTTGTAAATCACTGACCAATAACTGTTGGAAATGATCTTTCAGTGTTGTGTAAGCATAAGTGTAAATACATGGTCATTTCCTGGAGCTTGTGAAAGCCATACATTTCCAAAACCAAGAGAAACGGTATTTGTCTTATGTTTGTGACCCAGTCAGTTTAACCATTACTGTCAAACAAGACTAACATATTGTACCATGTCTTGGGTAAGCGTGTACATGGCATATTTGATAACGTAACTGGTACTTAAACGCTTTCATCATTGCATTTACATAGAGGGGAAATCTACCACTTTCATCCGAAACAGCATTATTGTATGAAAAACATTTAATAAGATTTACACTCATATAACTGAATTTTCTCGACAGCTTCCATTTTATGAAACCCACTTATCTCGGAGCCATATACTATCAAAGGTAATATTTTACAATCAAACAATCTGAAGAAAAACTAGGTGAATAAGGTTGAAGACGTGATGCTTTTCAGTAGAGTAACAAATCATTTTACATCGGACTGCAATATTATTCAGAGAATGTGTCCGTGATAATCTGTGGCTAAAATGTAAACCCAAGTATTTATAACCTTGTGTAAGTTCCATAATTTGTCCATTGAAATATCATTTCTCACGCCTACTCTTATCTAAATATTACATTTGTCTTAGAAATATTAACAGACATGCTCCAATCATTAATTTATTAAGCCCCTTTTGTAGTCCATTAAGAGTATCTGAAAATAAGGTAGAAATATCTAAACTAATGTCCAAAAGAAACGATACCACGTGTTTGAAAGGACATTACCAAAAAACTAAACGATACAGACATTTCAAATGGGCATGACTTGTGAGTAATGTTTTCACAGTATGTGTACAAACATTCATTGTAATCACAATCATGAGGACAGACATGTAAAGACGCGGGGGGTCCAAAATGAAAATTTCATTTGAACACAGTTAATGAGTCAAGTGTGGAAAATGTCACAACACACGTCTCAAAGTCACGTTAGTACCGGGTATGTCCACCGTGAGCGTCAATACACTCTAGTACACGTCTACGGGCTGATGACGGGGGGGGGGGGGGGGGGGGGGGGGGAAAGGGGGGGGTGCGTTGCCATTCATGGAGGAGGCATTGTTCCAATTCCTGGAGGTTAACTGGAGGCACAGGGCGATTCCTGACTTTGCGGCCGAGAATGTCCCACATGTGTTCGATTGGGTTCATGTCCGGTGAACATGCCGGCCATTGTAAAACGTGAATGTTGGCGTTTGCTAGGAAGTTCTGGGTCAGCCTTGCCGTGTGAGGCCTCGCATTATCGTGCTGGAAAATGATACCATTAGGCTGTTGATGGATGAATGGCACCACAACTGGTTGTAAGATGTCATCACGATAACGCTGCGCATTCAGGTTTCCTCGAATAACGACGAGTCTCGTTTTGACGTCACCGCAGATTCCACCCCAAACCCTTAAACCTCCGCCTCCATATGGCCTGACTTGATGGATGCAGTTCGGTGCCAAACGTTCACCTACTCTTCGGTACACACGCTGCCGGCCGTCGTTCCTGAAGATGCAAAATCTGCTTTTGTCAGAAAACATGACACGTGTCCAGTTCCACCGTTGCCACCGTCGAAGTTGCCTGGCCCATATCCGTCTGTTGAGTCGGTGTTGAGGTGTCAGGAACGCTCCGCGGTAGGGGCGACGTGCTCGGATACCATGTGCCCGCAGTCTCCTGTACACGGTTTGTCGACTTAACACATGTCCCAGTGCCGTCCGTGCCGTTACGAAGCGGTTCCGAAGGTGAAGTACCCGGATGTGGCGGTCTTCAATAGGCGTGATCACCCGTGGTCTCCCGGTTCTCGGCCTGTCTGCTGTCCGACCTGTTTGACGCAATCGCTGCATTAACCTGGTGACGGTTATCCGCGCGCATCCTAACCTTCTGGCGACGTCGCGGTGCGTAGCTCCCTGTTGGAGCATTCCTACGGCTCTCTCTCTCTCAATCGCTGTCAAACGTGGCATTTCTTTTGTGTGCTTTTTGTTGCTGTGATCCCTTCCTGTTCTATTGAGTGTACAATGTTATTGATAAAGAACTGAAATATGAAATGATTTAAGACGCATCCTTGTCTAACACCTAAATTTCTTTTTAATTTTTCTGATATTAAGTTATTCTTTGACACGTCCATTAATAGCATACTACCCATCTTTCTGCTGATCCCTCTCTTTCAAAAATTTCCCACAGATTAGAACGTCGAAAAATCGATGAAAGCTACATATAATTTTCTGCCCGACATAGATCTATATCTCTGAATAATAGCATTTAAAACAATTAGGTTGTCAGTGGTTGAATACCCTTTCATAAACCCAGAATGACTCTCCGATATTTTGTCGAATGCACCGACCCAGAATACCATTCTCTCATTCAGAATAGATGTAAAGACCCTAGAAAGAATACTCAAAAAAATAATAGCTCTGTAATTATCCTTTTCTAAGAAGGATACTTTCATATGCATTGGGATAATAATCCCCGTGTCCCAATCTTTTGGGAAAATATACTGAACAACAAAAGTTCATGTGACATTGAATACGATTTAATGCAAAGTTATGTTTTTTACCAAATCTGAAACAATTTCGGTTTGCAACAGATAAAAGACTACTGTAAGTGTTCAAATGGTTTAATTTGCCATACTGACTTCAGAAAATGCGTGATTTCATTAAAAAAACCATGAACATGCCAAAATGTCAATTTACAAATCAATAGCGTGTGTGTCCACCTCTGGTTGCGATGCAAGCAACACATCTTCGTCTCATGGAATGGACCAGGCGTCGCACAGTCCTGTGGGATATCTACTGGAGCATGTTGCGAAGTTCCTGGAGTGTCTGTGGAACACGTGGTTGACGTCGAAGGCGCCGATCCATCTCATCCGAAATGTGCTCGATTGGTGAGAGATCAGGGGAGCGAGCCAGCCAGGGGATGACATTCACGTTGTTTTGTTGAAGAGATTCCTGAACAAGTCGAGCAATATGAAGCCGGGCGTTGTCATGTTGAAAGATAATGCCTGGGCCATGACGACGCAAAAACGGTAGAACAACAGGGCCGATGAACTCGTCGCGGTAGCGCTGTCCATTGAGATTTCCCTCTACCAGTATCAAACGGGTCCTCTGTCTTGCTGTAATCCCACCCCATACCATAACGCTGCCGCCCCCGAACCGTTCTTTTTCCATGACACAATGATTGACGTTACATTCATCTCGACGTCGGTACACTCCAATCCGTCCATCGCTTAGGTGAAAACGAGACTCGTCAGTGAATAGAACGTGTACCATCTGCATGGCCGTCCAGCATTCGCCTGTTGGCAATTTTGCCATGAACACCAATTGCAAATGGTGTTTCTGTGGACGTTAAATTGTCTTGCAACATCACGTTGACTCGATCCTGCTTCAAGCATACCAATGGCCTGCATACGCTCATTTTCGGACAGGCGTGGCATTTCGTAATGTTGAATAATTGCGAAATTTTTTTTTTTTTTTGAGTGGTTGTTGTCAGCACGATGCCAAACAATGCATATGGAATCCCGTTAACGCACATGTTTTTATACCCATTCTTGGGTAGTGAAATGCATGGGGCTTGCATAAAAGTCAACTTTTGCATGGAATGCATACTTTTCTGTAGCAGTTGCGCTTTTGTGACTTGATTCCATACATGTACTACAATATTGAAAACCAAACTTTACACTAAAATATCGGTGTCACGTGAACTTTTGTTGTTGAGTATAGTTTAGTTAGAGAGGGAGAACCCAGAACTCAAAGTTCTTGCCCACAGGGCACTCTCTTTAGAAGAAGCTGACAAGGTTCCAGTTTGCTATTATGTCAAGGATAGCATTTTGATGAGGAAATGGAGGCAACAAGATGTACCTCCTGATAATGAATGGAAGGTTTTCTATAACATTGTTCTTCCAAATTCATATCGTAAGAATGTCTTGAGTTTGGCACATGGAATTCCTTTGGCAGGTCATTTGGGTGTTATCAAAACTTGTGATAAAATTCTGTTCCATTTCGTTTGGCCTTATTTGCGACATGAAGTGGCTGAATTTTGCAAAACATACCATGTGTGTCAAATGGTTGACTAGCCCAATCAGAAAATCCCAACCGCTCCTTTGAAACCCATTCCAGCTTTTGAAGAACCTTTCAGCAGGGTCATCATTGGTTGTGTTGGTCTTTTGCCTAAATCCACCCCTTCCACAAGGTTTCCAGAGGCTATTCCTTTACGGAAAAAAGGTTATCATCCAGGCTTTGGTAAAGTTCTTAACCATGGTTGGTTTGCCTAGGACTATTCAGTTTGATCAGGGCTCTAATTACATGTCAGGTGTTTTCCAACAGGCTGTGCGCCAGTTAGGCATAACTCAGA